AAAATTTACTACACGAAAAGTGAAAGGAAAATGCGATTTGTCTCTAACTTTGCAAATCCTAAAAAGGTGCGAAAATGAAAAATATCGTTCCACTCCATCAAGTACATCCCCCAACAAAGGGTCAACATTTTGAATAATTGTAGCTCTTGTAAAATGTGATATGAGAGTTCGATTGTCTTAAAATTACACACATAACAATATTTTTTTAACCCAAGAACTAGTGTGAAGGCAGAATATATCGGTCCACTCCATCTGGTACCTCCCCCACAAAACGGTCAACATTTTGAGTATCCATGAAGCTCATAAAACGAAAAATTAACATCCGATTCCATTTAGATCTTGCTCTTGATCTCAATATTTCCATCAACACAAGATCTGTTATAAAGATGTTAGAGAACGGACCATTCCTTCTGGTACCTCCCCCACAAGGGGTCAATTTTTCTGAATAGCCAAAACGTTTATTGAATTCTCTTAATATTTTACACATCCCATTACTTCTACTAACTCAAGATACAGGGTGAGATGGAAAAAACTGCAACCAACTTCAGACTGCTGTCATTTGTAAGTCTTTCGTCCGACAGATGTAAAAATTATTCCAATGACAGCTCATTATATTATTTACAAGCGGACAAAAGCATTTTGGTGAGAATTTTCCAGAAAAAAATATATTCGTGATGGAATTCAAGCGTGATAGTGTGATTTTTTTATTTTTGGCTGGAAAACCACAAGTGACTACCATAGAGCACTCCAGCATTTAAATGTGAATAAATCTTTTGTGTCTCGTACCATCGCCCGTTATCGTGATACTGGTAACGAAGCCCGACGTCAAGGAAGTGGACGGAAGAAAACAGCAACATCAGCAGAAATGGTTCGAAAAGTAAAGAAGCGACTTGATCGAAATCCGCTTCGCAGTGGCCGAAAAATGGCTCGTGAGCTGAACATATCGCAATATTCCATTCGGCAAAGATTGAAAAATTACCTCGGGGGGTAAAGCCATTAAAATTCCAAAAAGTACAACAACTTACACCGCAACCGAAAGAAAATAGACTTAAAGGAGCTAAAGAGTTGCTTCGCTTGGCCGAAATTGGTGAACTGCCGAATTTGGTTTTCTCCAATGAGAAAACATTCGTTGTCCAGCAGTTCTTGTTTACTTGCCAAAGAGGTCAGCTGAAAATGTGCCCCTTCGGTTCGCCACCAGAATTCAAGCGCCGGCCATGGTGATGGTGTGGGCAGCCATAACAGCCGATGGTCGCTCTCCGCTCGTATTAATCGACCGTGGCATCAGAATAAATGCCGAATATTGTGGTGAAAATATTCTGGAGGGTGTATTAAAACCTTGGGCACGCAAAACATTTGGCCGCAGACCTTAGACATTCCCACAGGACTCAGCACCATGCACTCAGCACGCGCCACCCAAGAATGGTTACAAAATGAGGTTCCTCACTACATTTCCGGCGCACAATGGCCAACAAAATCTCCGGATACCAATCCGGGAATGGGCCGAAATTCCGTAGGGCAACATTCGGGCAGCGTGTGACGGTTTCATTGGCCGTTTGAAGGCCATAATTTGTGCCAAAGGTGACCAATTCGAACAAATCTAAACTTATTCTAAAATTTGATGCTATTTCCGACATTTTTTACTTTCATTTAATTTTTAAATTAAAAAAAAAAATGTAAAAATTATGGCGTTTGACTTTGTTGCAGTTTTTTTTTCTCACCCTCTGTACATAAAGTATGGGCTCAAAGAGCAAAGAAGTTGTAGTCGTGACCTTATTTCGGAACAATTTTTGCAGGATTTATTCTTCGGTTACCATGGTAGTTATTATTTTTCGATTTTACATTTTTTGTAATTTATTTTTTCAAACCCCATTTCGCCACTGTGCGGTCTGTGCTCTCTTAGCAATAATTACAACAATGTTACAAAACGAAATGAAATCTTAATGAACAAATTCGTTTAGTTGAGTTTTGAGAAATAGACACACGCGACCCGAGGAAATTGAACTCGACGTCGTGTCGTTTCTTAAAAAAAAGTGTATTTTGTTATAGCGTTTTTGTTGCTGTTCTGTTTTTTTTTTGCTATTCTAAAGCCACCCCGTGACCACTTGGGTCGGTCGTCTGTTGCCATTTTCATTCAATCTGTGGTAGATTTTTTTCACGGACACAGTTAAACGAATGTGGCGGTGTATCACACTCACATAGAGACATCATCAACGAATCCACCATCCAGCTCTTCATAGCCAAACCAAACGAATTGCTATTAGGCGGTTTTTCCATGGTATTTGCATGGGTGTGTGTGTGTGTTTTTTTTTTGCGTGCCTCCTTAACTCTTCTGTTTGTTCGTTTTTCGTTTTTGCGTTAAATTGCAATTATGCGAAATGAATATCTTAATTGTTATTTTGAATTGAATATAAAAGTCGAAATTATGTGGAATTTTAAATACGATTTTTCTGTTTTCCGTTTTTCTCCTGTAATACCCAAATGTGAGAACGAACCGCAGCAAACAATTGCGATTTTTATCGGTAAGTATGTACACACTTTTTGTGATATAATTTGAAATGCGATTTATTTCAACGTTAATTAAAATAATTGGTATGTTGAATAAGTTACTGCAAACCGAGGGGAGTTCAACATCGAAAGTGTATTTAAATATTATGCAGCCGTGCGGTTGAACTTTGCCACTTTCCTCGAAAGGGATTGGAAAATTTAATATTTTTATAAATTTCGTGATTTTTATATTTTTATGAAAATAGGTATTTACAGGGTGAGATAAATCGCAATCGTGATGCAATCATTTCTACATTTTTTTAGATTCTATTGAATGAAAACAAGAAATGTCGGAAATAGCATCAAATTTTAGAAAAAGTTTAGATTTGTTTAAATTGGGTACCTTTGACACGAATTATAGCCTTCAAACGGCCAATGAATCCGTCACACGCTACCCGAATTTTGCTCTGCTCTCTCTGTAGTTTGGAAAATTCCGGCGAAGCCCTTGCTTGAGGTGATCGACACTTTGTTATTTTTTAGTACCAACCTTGCTTTCCAAAATACTCCAGACGCAATAGTTCAACGGATTGGTATCCGGAGATTTCAGTGGCCACTGGAAATGAAGCGAAGAACCTCATTTTGTAACTATTCTTGGGTGGCGCGTGCTGAGTGCGATGGCGCTGGATCCTGTTGGAATGTCCAAGGTCTGCGGCCAAAATGTTGATGTGCCCAAGGCTTTAATACGCCCTCCAGAATATTTTTGCGATAATATTCGGCATTTATTCTGATGCCACGATTGATTGATACGAGCGGAGAGCGACCATCGGCTGTTATGGCGGCCCACACCATCACTATGGCCGGCGCTTGAGTTCTGGTGGCCAACCGAAGGTGCACATTTTCAGCTGACCTCTTTGGCAAGTAAACACGAACTGCTGGACAACGAATGTTTTCTCATCGGAGAAAACCAAATTCGGCAGTTCAACACTTTTGGCCAAGCGAAGCAACTCTTTTGAGTCTATTTTCTTTCTGTTGCGGTATAAGTTCTTACATTTTGGAATTTCAATGGCTTTACCCCGAGCTAATTTTTCAATATTTGCCGAATGGAGTATTGCGATATGTTCAGCTCACGAGACATTTTCAGCCAAATGTTTCTTTTCGAACCATTTCTAGTTGTGTTGCTATTTTCCGTCCATTTCCTTGTCTTCGGGCTACGCTACCTGTATCACGGTAACGAGCGATGGTACGAGACACAAAAGATTTATTCACATTTAAATGTTGGAGTGCTCTAACGTTAGCCACTTGTGGTTTTCCAGCCAAATGCCGCTTAGGAATTTTTATAAGCCTTCAACTATACACATATTGTCTATATCGGATAAGTGGATCCCAGTCCAGCCCAGGTCTTCAACCCGCACTTTCGGGTCAACAATCAAGAAAAAAATTGTTTCCCGGAATCAGGGTAAAAACACCTACCTCTGGAAAAAATGTCGAAAAAATCAAAGAGTTTTTACTAAACTAGATTTAAGCCCTTTGTGGGAGAGGTACCCGAAGGAATGGTTCGATCTCTACTATCTTTGTAACAGATATTTTCTTGATAGAAATATTGAAATATGTCGAGTCTGAAAAGAATCTGTTAATTTCGAGTTTTATGAGCTTCACGGATATTAAAAATTTTAATCCTTCGTGGGGGAGGTACCAGGAGTGGACCGATGTATTCCATACTCATTCCGGACGTTAAGTTAATAAAAATATTGTGATGTGTTTATTTTGAAGAGAATCGGATGTTAATTTTCCATTTTATTGGCGTTTTGTTATTCAAAATATTGACCCCTTTGAGGGGAAGGTACTACCAGAAGGAGTAGACCGGTATCTCTCGTCTTTACAACAGGTCTCGCGTTGATAGAAATATTGAGAAATGTGTAATTTGAAAACAATCGGACTCTTACATCACATTTTATAAGAGACCCTTTGGGGAGGCGGATGTACTTGATGGAATGGACCGATATTGTCCATTTTCGCACCTGACGTAGCACTTATGGAAATTTTAGGATTTGCAAAGTTGGAGCAAAATCGGATTATCCTTTCTCTTTCTGTGCAGTACATTATTTTCTTTGTAAATTTTAACACTTTGTGTGGAAGGAGTAAAGCGATATTGTCCATCTCCGAACTCGATCTAAGTTAGATATTAAACTACGATGTACCAAGTTTGGACCAAATTGGATACTCCCTTCAAGAGTAATCGTGAGCACCAGCCAGATAGACGGGCACGCGGACAGACATCGGTAGTTCGACTCCAAATGTTTAAAATCGTTATTTCGATGGCTCAGCCACATCGCTGAGGGTATAAAGTTTCGATTCGAATCGACTCGTGCAAGGATTCCCACACCTTGGCCCAGTCTATAAAAAAAAATAATGTTTATTGCAGGTTCCCAATGTGTTTGTTATATCATTGTTAAAATGCGTGTTTCCCAATTCTTCAACTCCTCATAATAAATTTAATTGTTCAAACATCCTTTAAATATTGATTAAAAAGAATATTGTTTATTTAACATTTGTTTAAAAATACTTATATAATAAATATATATTTTACATTTTCGTTACAGGGTACTCCGGAAGCCACATCACTTCAATTGCATATCATGTTTCCAATTGCCTTATACATGGAAAATATGGGTAAAAGTACTGCAAATAAATGAGCGATAAGTGCGATGGAAGCAGGCGTCTACATATGGAAAATAAATAAGAAAGATAATTGATATATTTATCATTATTTCATTGAATTAAATATTTATAAATTATATTCAAATTTTAATAATAAGTTTAATTTAAAGTTACTCAATTCGTATTCTAACATGAAAAAATCGTTTATAATACATGTAACAGATTATAACAAACATAAAATAAAAACATGTAATAAATTAATGTTAAATAATAATTAATTAAAATATGTAATAAAACTCAACATTAAATAGTGAATATGTGTTATTTTTTATTTTCCACATTAAAATAATTAAAATAGAACAAAAGTTATGAAAACCCAAGATTTTAAGAGAAGCTACGCACTCTCCCTCAATAAACAGATCGTGACGTCACTCACAGGCTGAATTGCGAAATAACCAAATTTCCTGAAATACCAGGCGAACAGAATCGACCAAGCAGTATTTTCCATGGTGTTGCCAGCATCAAATAATTACAATTCACAAAATTGTGTAAAACTTGGAGCCTATTTTGGGGAGCATACATTACCACAACTTAAAATATAAGCCTAAAAGTATGCTTTAAATTTGCTTAGTATTCAAAAAGCAACACAATTTACATGCTTTGAAAAGTTATCTAATATTTAAAGGGAATTAAAAGCAAGCTTAAACGATGTAGTTAACGTTTTATTTTATTGGCAAATATAACGAAATTGTAGTCGTCAAGTAAATGTTTACAACGATTATGTTTTTAGCAAATTGTCGTGGAATTTCAACCACAAAAGTTTTAGGTAAAGCCGGGCACCAAGTTAGTCCCCATTTGACTCAAACTCAGTACATTGTATTTTTATAAAAAAAAAACCTGTATCGAGTTCAAAGACGCGAATATCTTCTTGTATTTCAGTATATATTCTATCCATTTATCAGATATTACATTGGACTGATTTATCATAGCAAGACTTACATGGAAGATGAATTATATATTTGTATACCCTTCACCAATCTGGAGGGTATATTAGCTTTGTCGTTCCGAAATATTCATGATAGACCCTACAAAGTATATATTCTGGATCAGCGTAAAGTTCTAAGACTATTAAATGATGTGCATCTGCCTGTGTGTCTGTCTGTCTGCCCGTCCATCTGTCCGTTGTAATCACGATTTCTTTCGAAAGAACTGAAATAGAAGGCTGCAATTTTGCACACATATGTATTTTCCCCGTAGGCAGTTAAATTTTGTAAATGGGCTATGTGGGTGCACGTTTTCGTATAGCCCTCACATAACACCACCTCATGATATTCATTATTTTGATGATTTCAGCAACATTATTCACCGGAATCGTTTCAGTTCTTCTTCAAAATACTCAAGCTTTTTTTAACTTTATCAGCTTTACGATGACATCGTAAAAACCATTCAGTAATTCAATTAGATTCAGTAGTTGCATAACAATTCAAGGCAAACTGATTTTTTTCTAATTTTTATGAAAATGTGATTTTTTTTAATACCATATTTTTTGAAAAAGTCGAACCCAATGTGTTATAAAAAATAGATTTTTGTTAATTTTGTTAAAATTTTAAATTATTTAATTCATATATTTTGAATTTAAATAAAATATATGGTATATGTATAACTTAACTTATAGAATGCAGTTCATAAAGTATGGCGGAACAACTCTATTAGTAAAACCTCTAAATTTTTTTGGAACTTTTTCTGAGAGGTAGTTATTTTATTGATTTAGGAGTGTTTGCAACAATTTTTTGTGGATACTCAAATTTATTTGGCATAGACGGTGAAACACGGATGTTGCTTTTCTCAATTAAATATATCTCCGCACATGACTGTCAAAATTCTGATAATAGCCCACTGATTTTTCAGTTGATCTCAAAACCAAAATAAAGTTATTAAGAATTTTATTGTTTTATAAAAATTCTGATGCCCCCAAAAAATTATTATTTTTAAAATCCATCATGCAACCAATTATTAGATATGTTTTTTCAAAGGTTATCATATATATTTTCTATCTTCGGTAAATCGCCTTTTACCCTGGTCTTGAATCAAGATTCTCTAGAAAAAAAAATTCAAAAATAGGCGATTTTTACTAAACTACAATTAAGTCAGTATAAAGTTTCTATAACTTTTAAGTTATTGGGAATGCTTAAAAATATCCTACAAAAAATCGTAATATAAAATGTGAAATAGTCACTTAACATATGACTCTAGCACGATATGTAAACCGGCCATTATAAGTGAAGTTTTTATATTATATTTTACGCGTGGTAACGTGGATACAAAGTAAGATAAGTTTGAATACAATGGAAACAAAATAGGATAAGTTTGACAAATTAAACAAGTAACAAGTAAAAAATCAGCTAAGTCTGGCCTCTCCACCATTTGGAAGGATCTTGAAAATTTAAAAAAAATGCCGTAAACTATTACTTAAATGAAAACCATTATATACGAAGATGTGGACCTGTGGGGGCTGTAGTACTCATTACGAACATCAAATATGAAATTTGAAACAATTCCGGTGAACAATGTCGCAAAAATCATAAAAAAATCGAATATCAGTATGTATGTGGGGCTATACGAAGACGTGGACCTGCAAACGAATTTTTTTTGCCATAATTTGTAGTACCCATTAAGATCTTCCAGTACGAAATTTGAAACGATTCCGGTGAATATTGTTGCTGAAATCTTCAAAATACCGAAAATCGGGATGTACCGTTATATGGGGGCTGTACGAAGACTGGACCTGCATACAAAAAATGTTGTCATAGGCTGTAGTACCCATTACGAACTTCAAATGCGAAATTTGAAATATTTCCGGAAATTATTTTACTAAAGTCATGAAAATACCGAATATCGGGAGGTACCGTTATATGGGGGCTATACAGAAACGTGGACCGAAATATCCCATTTACGAACTTAACCTGCCTACTGGTAAACTATGCATGTACCCAAAATGTAAGCCTTCTACAAGCTATATCGTCTTAGAATTTTACGCTGATCCAAAAAATATATATACTTTGTTGGGTCTATTATTAATATTTCAAGGAGTTACAAACGGATAGACAAAGTTTAAATATCCTCCATAGAATGCTGGAGGGTATAAAAACGTCATATATTGAACCAAACTTAAATATAGATTTGATTCAAATTTTTGAAATTATCAGTGATAGCAATAATAATCTCATCTTTCCTTTCATCTCAAAAATGATCGCCATATTGAAAACAGTATTCATGACAGTGCGTTCCAAAGCTATTTGCAAAAAAACACACACATTTATGGTTGCGTTTGACACTTAAAGCTTTTCACTTCGAATCGCTGCAAATAAAAAGCCTAATTCCATAAAAAATAATGCAAAAAATAAGCATTTGGCAGAATTTCATATCAATCAGTCAGACCTGCCTCCTCTCTCTCTGTTTGTGCATTTGAAGTGAGTAATTTCAATAAAGCGAAAATAATAACAAAATACGCGACACATTTTGCGTTACGACATTCATATTCAAAACGCCCCGTCCTGCCTGCGAGAATATTTGCAACGACGACCACGGCGAGTAGCTACAAAAAAACATTTCATGATAGCAACAACAAAATCTACGAAACGGAGCAATTGATTCACGTGTCTAATATGCGTGACTGGCGAACAAAACATATGTGGCAGCAGTGCACCGTGGCATGGAATCATATAATCAACGGTTGTAAGGCGAAAAGTTGGTTGCACTGTGGGGCAGATATGAATTATGAGATAAAATATAGAATATAAGTCACTAAGAATAGACTATTTCAAGTAGAAAGACTTGGTTCGCGCTACATTTCGGAATTTTTATTTGTCAAAATATTTCGTAATGTAACGAAAGGGTATCTGAAAGCATTAAGTAGGTCCATAATAGACGAGACGTTTCATCCGACTTTTAGTTGAAAGTCAGACATATATATGAACATATATTTGTATACAGGTATCGTGAGATACATGAATGTCATTAAGATAGTAAATACAAGAGAATATAACTTCCCATTTTGAATACCTTTTTTGATTTTTTCATTCCCTCCCAAACCACTGTGTGTGCACAAAACAAATATTGGGTTACATTAATACATCGCTTTGTTGTTACGCTCTCAGCAGGTTAAAATAACAAATGCAGTACCGAGAAGAGAAAGACAAAAACACTTTTACTTTTATTATGAAACAGAGAGGAGAATGTTGTTGGCTTTTGACGAAGGTGTACTGCTGCTGTTGCTGCTTCTGCCATAGAGGGAGGACTTTTATTAGATATGAAAATGAAACAAGAACAAAATCGAAATCAATAGATAAGAGAACGGTGCAACAGATACTTTTCAAACAAGCACACTCAGACACATACACCGCCAGAAAATAAGTTCGCTGTAGACCTATAGAGAGATGGCTGGTTGCTAGATGATTTTATGTACGCTACAACAGTCCGTCTGGCTGGCTGGTGCGCACGATAATTCTCTAAAGGAGCATCCGAGTTGGTCCAAATTAAGTGCATTGTAATATTAGTATCAAACTTAGATCGAGTTCGAAGATGGGCAATATCGGTCCACTCCTTTTGGTACCGCCCCCACAAAAGGTGGACATTTTCAAAAAAAAACAAGTAAAAAAGCTGTAAGATCGGCCCGGCCGAACTTTTAATACCCTCCACCATTTGGTACAAATTTGGCAATTTCCAAAAAAAAAAATAATAAAAAAAAAATCCGTTAAAAATTCTGTTAAAATCTTAAAAATAACGAATGTCTATACGACGACGTAGACCTGCATAGGCAACTTTTGACATAAGTTATTACAATATTTAAATCCGAATCTTGAAGAAAAATCTGTTTATAATGTAGCTATAATCATCAAAATACCGAATATAGGGGATACCGTTATATGGGGGCTATACGAAGACGTGGACCTGCATAGACAATTTTCTGGCATGGGCTGAAGTATCCATTACGAACTTCAAATGCGAAATTTGAAACAATCCCGGTAAATAATGTCACTAAAATCATCAAAATACCGAAGGGGTACTGTATATGGGGGCTATACGAAGACGTGGACCTACATGGCCCATTTTCTGTTTTCTGCTGCAGTACCTATTACGATCTTCAAATACCAAATTTGGAACGATTCCGTTAAATAATGTCGCTAAAATCATCAAAATACCGAATATTGGCGGGTACCGTTATATGGGGGCTATACGAAGACGTGGACCTGCACAGACAATTTTCTGTCTCAGGCTGTAGTATCCATTTCAAACTTCAAATGCCAAATTTGAAACGATTGCGGTAAATAATGTCGCTAAATTAATCAAAATACCGAATATCGGAGGGTACTGTTATATAGGGGCTATACCAAGACGTGGAATGCACAGATAATTTTCTGTCTTACGCTGTAGTATACATTACGAACTTCAAATGCCAAATTTGAAACAATTCCGGTGAATAATGTCGCTAAAATCATCAAAATACCGAATATCGGGAGGTACCGTTATATGGGGGCTATATGATAACTTGGACCTACATGGCCCATTTACGAACTTAACCTGCCTACTGGCAAAATATACATGTGTGCAAATTTTAGCCTTCTATCTTAATTTGTTCGAAAGATAGCGTGATTACAACAGACAGACAGACGGACATGGCTAAATCGTCATAGAATTTTACGCTGATCAAGAATATATATACTTTGTTGGGTCTGACATGAATATTTCGAGGAGTTACAAACGGAATGACAAAGTTAATATACCCTCCATAGTATGGTGGAGGGTATAAAAATAATTTGCTGCACAGAAAATGAAAGGATAATCCGATTTTACTCCAACTTTGCAAATCCTAATATTTGCATTAGTGCTAGGTCAGGCGGGATAACGGACAATATTGGTCCATTCTATCAAGTACCTCCCCCACAAATGGTCACAATTTTGAATAATTATAACTGTTATAAAATGTGATGTAAGGGTCCGACTATCTTCAAATTACACACATCAAAATATTTTTATTAAACCAAAGTCTGGTGTGGAGATGGAATATATCGGTCCAATCCTTCAGTTACTTCCTGCATTTGTTATTTTAACCTTCTGAAAGCGTAACAACAAAGCGATGTAACCCAATATTCTTTTGCGCACACACAGTGATTGGGAAGGTTCCTCCCATACAAAGGGTTAAATTTTTGAATATCAATGAAACTCATAAAATGCGAAATTAACATCCGAATCCATTCAGACTTCGTACATAGCAATATTTTCATCAACACAAGATCTGTTGTAAAGATAGTCCAGATCGGACCAATTCCTTCTGGTACCTCCCCTACAAAGGGTCAAAGTTTTGAATAACCAAAACGATTATAAAATCCGAAATAAGCATGCGGTTCTGTTCATACAGTGTGAGATAAAAAAACTGCAACAAAGTCATACGCCAACATTTCTTACATTTTTTTTTAAATTTTATTGAATGAAAGCAAAAAATGTCGGAAACAGCATCAAATTTTAGAATAAGTTTAGATTTGTTCGAATTGGTCACCTCTGGCACGAATTATGGCCTTCGAACGGCCAATGAAACAGTCACACGCTGCCCGAAGGTTGCTCTGTATATCGAAGCTATATAAAAATCTGAACAGATCTCAATAAAATTTGGCAGAGGAATTTTCGAGCTGCATCTGATTTCTGGTACCAAAGATCATTGTTGTGGAGTGCATATTACGCATGTGAGGCACTTAATACCCCAAACAGGATGAAACATATATATGGGAGCTATAGCTACATCTGAATCGATTTTCACCAAATTGTAAGTACTTGTTTCTAGACGGAATTGGATCGGAATTGTCAATATTCAGTTCATTTGGGCTGATATTAGCAATTTGTTGCACAATGAACCTGATATCGGATAAAGATATATAAAGAAGCTATATTCAAATCTCATCGATAAAATTTTACAGCGGTACTTTTAGCTCGATAAGTTATCTGGTACTAAAGAACATTGTTGTGGAGTGCATAGTACAATTGTGAGGGACATAAAATCACAAATCGTATGCAAAATATATATGGGAGATATAGCTATATCTGAACCGATTTACTCCAAATTTGATGTACTTGCTTCTAGATTGAATTCGGCGGGATGTGCCAAATTTCAGGTCAGGTTCATTTGGACCGATTTTGGCCATTTGATGCACAATTAACCCAAAATTGGTTGAAAATATATATGGAAGGTATATCTAAATCTGAACATATTCTCACCAATTTCGTTAGGGTTCGTCCTTGGGCCAAACAAGTATTGTTTGGAAAATTTCATCTCAATCGTATAAAAAATGCGACCTGCATTTTGTTCACAAAAGTACATGGACAGACGAACTGACATGCATAAATCGATTCAAAAAGTGATTCTATGAAGATCCTTAAAAAATAACTATGGGTCTATTTCGCTTCCTTCTCTGGGTCTATTTCTTCTTCCTTCCGTTACAAACAAATGCACAAATACATAATACCCATACCACTATGCGGTATAAGCTATAACACGAACTGAGCGCCTAAAAGCATGCTAATTAAATAATAAATAAAAATGTAAAAAAATCGCTTTACATATGACTCTAACACGATGTGTTAACTAGGCATTTAGAGCCGTATAAAAGTCCTTCATCTTGTTTCTTCGAGCCAGATAAGTCTAAGTTCTGCTACTTTTTATTTTGGTCCTTCGAGACACATTGGTCTATTTAGCATAAGGATCTATTTTTATTACAATCGTCAAAGGGCCAAATCCACACTCCCTTGCATTTTGAGTTCCAAACCCATGTATTGTTTTTTCTTTAAGATCCGTAAGACATTAAAAATTCCACTTATACCGGCGACTAACAGTTTCATTCAATACTTCTCTCATTGTTATTCTTGCGAATGGTTTTCATACTTTTCCCTGTTGCGTCCCTCTGCCATTTTCCACATTTTCATACACTCAAACAGGGGGCAGCGCACATACAACAGCAACAACAACTACACACACACACGTTCTATTAAAGCTTTTACCGAACATTTAGTTACAATTTATTCTATGCATTATTCACTGTCAGTCAATCAGTTTACGTGCGAATTTGTCGGAGTGAAGACCTCAATACGAAACGATCTCACAAAAAATTTAAATAAAAACTACAAATTCAAAGCAAACCAAAAAAAAAAAATAGTAACAAATACATGCAAAGAAAAAAATACATTAATACCAATTTTAATCTATAATTTGTGTATATGATTTTGAAAATAAATAAAAAAATAACTTACATGAAAATAAGCACAGATAAAGTAAATTATTGATTATGGTTTTTTATTTTAATAATAGAAGAAAAAAATATTTAAATCGTATAATAACTTAAATCTTTTAATAGAAAGTGTTAAATTGTTGTGTTAATGTGCAAAATCCCATTGTTTTAATTTTTTTTTTTACATAAATTAACAGCGTTTTGAAAAAAGTTCACTATAAAGCTTTCCGTTGCAATGCACGAGATAAACAAAAAATACGTTACACAGTAAAAATAAAAAAAAAATGAATGAATAAAAATTATTCGTATTTAAATGTTTATGCGGCATTAAAACTTTCGAATACATTTCACTTTGAGCGGAATTAAATAAATATTCAAAAAAATGTGAATATCGGAGAAAGACAAAGAAACTTGATTTTGAAACTTGACATTATATATTGAACTGAATTTAAATAAAAAAGTGAAGAAAGTATACTTAACTCAGCAATAATAGTATTACTAAATTTGAGTGGTCACCGATTCCAAACCAAAGGAATATAACCCATAACAATGGGCCAAATTTAAAGAAGAGTTGAAGCAACAAACAAAAATTTATTAAAAGAAGATGGGTTTTATTTGTTAATGTAGTTTGTTAATGTTAATTGTTAACCCTAGAATTACAACTAATTTGGGCTACATCAAAACGTCAAGTTATTTTGACTAATTTCCTTTAAAAAACATACAATGGAAATGGAATAATTTTACAGGATATTTATAAGAAAATATTGACCTGCATAGACAATATACATTTGAAGAAAGTGGCACTTGTTTTGAAATTCAATTAACGTTGGAAAATATGTCGGGAATTATGGCTAACGCCTAACAAAACAAATAAAAAACATTAAGATCGGCCGGGCCGAAATTTTAATACCCTCCACCATTAGGTAAAGAAAACATTATTGTATAAAAGTATCAGAATTCAAACGTTTCCATTCCATTTTAAACTACAAATACCAGTAAGGATAATGCTGTTAAACTTTTCAAAAAACCATAATGTGGGTGAGGCTGTTTTATGGGGGCTATACCAAAACGGAAACCTCCATAGACAATATTAATACTTAAAGGATTGTCATCTACCAAATCTTCTTAAAAAAATTGAAACAATGTTGCCTGCAAATGTGACTAGGATTATCAAAATACCGAATATCAGTGGGTATCGTTATATGTGCGAAATAGGAAAACGTGGATCTAAATATTCAATGTTATGCCACTGGAGCTATAACCCATTATGAACTACAAATACCAATTTTAAGACAAATCCGTGGAAAAATGTAGCAAAAATCATCAAACTACCGAATATCGAGAGGTATCATTCATTATATGGGGGCTACACGAAAACGTGGACCTATACATATTATGGTCCGCCACAGGAGCTAGAACCCATTATAAACTACACATACCAATTTTCAGACAAATCCGTGGAAAAATGTGACATAAATCATCAAAGTACCGAATCTCGGGATGTACCAGGCTAGGCTATACGTGGACCTATATACACTATGTTCAGCCACCGGAGCTAGAATCCATTACGAACTACACATACCAATTTTCAGAGAAATCTGTGAAAAAATGTGACAACGATCATCAAACTACCGAATATGGGGAGGTACCATTATATGGGGGCTATACGTGGACCTATATGCACTATGTTCCGCCATCGGAGCTAGAACTCAACTACAAATACCAATTTTTAGACAAATCCATGGAAAAATGTGGCACAAATCTTCAATGTACCGAATATCGGGAGGTGCCCTTGTATAGGGGTATACCAAAACGTGAACCTACAATGTTTCGCCACACAAGCTAGAACGCATTATAACCTACAAATACCGATTTTTAGACAAATCTGTCAAAAAATGTGGCAAAAATCATCAAAATAACGAATATCGGGAGATGCCCTTGTATAGGGGTATACCAAAACGTGGACCTACATGGCTCATTTCCAATACCAAAAATCCTGCTGACATAACATACATTTGAGTAAAATTTTATAAATCTACCTCAATTCTTCGGAAGGTAGAGTGATTTCAACAGACGGACATCACTAAATCGACATAGAATTTCATGTTGATCAAGAATATATATACGTTGTGGGGTCTAAAATGTATATTTCGAGGTGTTACAAAGGAATGACAAACGAGGGTATAAAAAAGTGACGATATAGGCCCAATATTAGGGAATTCGTACTTTTGTCCATGATTTTTTTAGAGAATACACATGTTATCGAATTTTTATACACTCCTCCAAACATAGTATGGAGGGTATATTAAGTTCGTCATTCCGTTTGTAACTCGTCGATATAATAATTTTAAACGTAACAAAGTATATATATTCTTGACAGTGTAAAATTCTAAGACCTGTCCGTCCGTTTGTTACAATCAAACAAATAAAGATAGGAACCTAGAATTTTGTATAGATCGGTCTCAACTTCGAAGTGCCCCCATATATTCGATATTTTCATGACTGTATCCAAGTTTTTCAATAAAATTGTCTAAAAATTCACAAAAGGAGTTCCTTCCGAGTACTTTGCCCTCTGGAAGAGTGTTGTCTATATAGGTTTACGATAACATATATCACCCATATAATAAAAACTCCCTATATTAGCTATTTTGATGATTTTAGATACTAGAAGATGATTTTTGATACTAAAAGTTCTTTCTAAGCACTTTACCGCCTGGAAGTATATATATATATAGGTTCACGATATTGTATAGCCCACATACAATGCTTTCACCCGATATTCGATATTTTGACGTTTTTAGGGACATTATTCACCGGAGTTGTTTCAAATTTCGCATTAAGAATTCGTAATGAGTACTACAGTCTATCACAAAAAATTGTATATGCAGGTCCTCGTCTTCGTATAGGCTCTATTTATCAGTACCTCTCTATATTCGGTATTTTGACGATTTTACGTACAATATTCACCGAAATTGTTTGAGATGTCGTATTTGAAGTTCCTAATAGGTATTAGAGCCTATGACAAAAGATTGTCTATTCGTGTCCAGGTCTTCGTATAGCTCCTGAATATCGGTACCTCCCTATATTTAGCATTTTAATGTTGTTGCGGCATTATTCACCAGAATTGTTTCAAGTTTCGTATTTGAATATTGTAATTGCTTATGACAAAAATGCTTATGCAGGTCCACGTCCACGTTGTTTTGGCAAAGGCATCTGAGAATATCAAAACCTCTTTATATGGCAATAGCATTGCCTGTACAAACTTTCAATGATCTTATTGCCAGCTCTAACGCGATTTCAGCAAACAGGCTGCGGGCAGATATAACTTAGTCGACACAGAATTTTACATTTTCAAAGGGTATGAGAAAATTAATGTATCCTCCAACACATCTTGGAGGGGATAATAAGTATTTCGGTTTGTCTAAAAAATGTTTTGGGGATAGGAACATATTCGAAACATAAAAACTCGCATAAAGAACGAGGAAATAGCTTAAAATGTAGATCGGAAGAGAATATAGTTGAACGTTTAAAATCCAATGTAGGAGATGATATTTCTCGTTTCATTGAGCAATTTTTGATAGAAGGGAGAATACCCTCAATGGATGGAAAATTTTCTACAAATAGGCGACCTTTTATTAGCAGAAGTCCGTTTATCGATTTAACTTATGGCTTTCTTTGAGTAGAAGATCACCTATGAACATAAAGCCTTCGATTGATAGAAGACTTTCTATTAACAGAAAAACTTTTTTAGATGGAGAAATTCAGTGAAAAGGAGGCCTCCTACAAATGGAAAACCTTCCGTGGATAGGAGACCTTTCACGTATAAGAGCTTCTATAGATGTATAACTATGTATTGATATAAAACCTCCCACAGAAAAACTATGAATATATGGTCTTCTTTTTATGTATAAAAGACTTTCCATGAAAATTAGACCTTTCATAAGTATAGGTCAAAATATATATTTTTTTATGACTGAAAAACTTTTATGGCTTAAATGCGTTCTACAGTCAGAAGATTTTTATGAATAGAATGGATAAAAACCTTCTATGAATAATATACCTATGTATAGACCTTCTATGGACTGAGACATTCGATGGAAAGCATTTTATGCATAGAAGACATCTATTGAAAAACTTATATGAATAGGAGATCGTACCTTATTTGGATAGATCTTTTTTGGTTAGGACACCTTTTGTCTATAGAACACCTTGTGTGGTTGATGATTTTCTGGGCATAGAGGACCAATGGGGGTACTTTCTATGAAAAGGAAGTAATCTGGATAAAGACCTAAAGAGGGCGCAATATGAAAATTATACCCTCGAAGAATACCTACTATTAATGAAAGAACTATATCGATGTAAGACTTAAGAATAGAAAACCATTCTATGACTTGAATGTACCTTTATGGATAAGACACTTTATACAGATAAAATGCCTTTTTGATAAAAATATGTTTCTCAAAGAATATGGATAATATAGTAGATATATTGTGGTTAAAATACCTTTTATTAATGGACATTTGGAGAACGTTCTTTGGATAGAAGACTTTTTATGGATTGAACACTCCCCAAAATTCCTACTCTATCTCAAAATCATGTACAAGATAATTTTAAACTAATGATTCCGCCAACTGTATTTGGTAACCTTGTATTTAGCATTTTCTCATTCTTTACTTTTCTATATTCTTTATCAAAACACTACGTACATACATACTATATCACGCTCCGACAGTCATCGATCTCCAGATTACTCAGAAAATGATTATGAGGCCAACAAGCAAAACAATACTACAAAGTCACATGTATTGAGAACATAAAACATGTGTAGCCAGCCAGTCAACACAGCAATGACATTTAAAAATGCCGTTAAAATGCACAACACAAGAGAGCAATAGATAGCTTTGTAAAGACGAGAAATTAGTGTTAAGTTTTCCAGCTGACAGGGCCAATCTGACATGGTGTTCTCCTTTGCCACTCTCTCAATCTTTACACGAAAACACAACTAGTTAGAACAATGTCTAGATTGTAGTTTGTTTTGTTGAA